CAGCAGCAGCAGCAGCAACAGCACCAGTCGACCGGTCAGCTGCAGCATCTCAGCCAGCAACAGCAGCAACAAGTGGCGGCGCAGATGCAGCTCCAGCAGCAGCGCCAACACCAGCAGCAGCTCCAGCAGCAGCCGGCCACCGGCATCGCGCACGACCTCGAGCGCCTCTCGATCGCTGGAGGCTACGGCGCCGCTGCCGGAGGCCGCATGGCTCCGCAAGGACAGAAGGCCAGCGCTGCCGCTGCCGCCGTCGCCGCCGCCGGGTCAGGCGCACAGCCCGGCCAGTCCGCCGCTGCGGCCGCCGCCTACACCGAGACGCTCGTCTCGATGCTGCAGAGCCTGCCTCAGTATGTGGTTTTCAATCCGCAGCTCACCATGTTCGCCAACAACGCTGCACTCAAGCGTCTCATCTTTGTGGCCATCGACCGCGCCATCCGCGAGATCATCGCGCCCGTCGTCGAGCGTTCCGTCACCATCGCTTCCATCTCGACGCGCGAGCTCGTCACCAAGGACTTTGCCATGGAGGGAGACGAAGAAAAGATGCGTGCATCGGCTCACCAGATGGCGCAGAACCTCGCCGGAAGCCTGGCCATGGTGACGTGCAAGGAGCCCCTCCGCATCAGCATGGTGGCCAACGCACGCACCCTGCTCCTCTCCAACGGCTTCACCGAGCAGAACCTGCCCGAGCAGGCGCTCATGGTCATCATGCAGGAGAACCTCGACCTGGCTTGCTCGGTCATCGAGAAGGCCGCCATGGACAAGGCCGTGCCCGAGGTGGACGAGGGCCTCACCAACGCCTACACGAGCCGACGCGAGCATCGCACCCGCGGTCGCGGCTACTACTGGGACAGCGCCGCCCTGGCTGCCTCGCAATACGCCGCGACGCTGCCGGACATGCTCCGCCTCCGGCCCGACGGCCTCCATCCCGCCCAGCTGCGCGTCTACGATGGCTTCAGCCGTCGCATGTCTCCTGGTGTCGACGGCGACCGAGGCACACCTGCTTCGGTCCACGCATCGTCGGTTTCCGGACGCTCCGAGGCCGGCTTCCCCGAGGCGCATGCCCCTGGCGCTGCTGCACTGCAGGACGCCAACGCAGGTGTCCCGTCCGGCCTGCTTCCCATGGCCGCAGGTGCCACGCTGAGCGCACAGCAGTCGCTCGAGAAGTTTTCGCAGGGCATGATGGAGCTGGAGCGCCTGCTCGACGACGCCGACCGCGACTCTGGCCTCGCCGATCTGTCGCAGGATCACGAGATCCGCCACGCGCTCCGCCTGATCCCCATGGTGGCGGCGCAGTCGACCAGCCGCGACGAGACGGCACTGGCCTTCTCGCAGAAGGTCGTGCAGCTGCTCTTCAAGATCGAGTCCAAGCTCGGCCGCGAGGTGTACGTGGTGCTGCTCGACAGGCTGTGCGAGATCTCGCTCAAGGCAGCACGCGAAGTGACCGCCTGGCTCATCTACGCCGAGGACGAGCGCAAGTTCAACGTGCCCGTCACCGTGGCGCTGGTGCGCGCAGGCTTGGTCAACATCGCCGAGCTCGACGTGCAGCTGGCCAAGCTCATCCTGCGCGACTTCCGCGCGAGCGTGATCGACTTTTCGGCCCAGCTTGCGCTCGAGTGCCTTCAGGAGCCTGCCTGCGCCACGCGCCAGCAGCTTACGCACACGATCGAGGCGCTGCAGCGAGCCGGCCAGCGCAGCAAGGACACCGAGGCGTCGAAGCGCTTCCTGCACGATCTGGAGAGCGGCCTGCTCAAGAGCAAGGTGGACATCGGCAACACGGCGCTGCGCGAGCAGCTGGCGTACTGCTTTGCCGAGTGGGCGCGTCTGTTCCAGCACTCGCCCAACCCGGAAAAGTCGTTCATCGACTACGTCACGCAGCTGCAGACGCAGGGCATCCTCAAGGGTGAGGACATCTCGTCGATGTTCTTCCGCGTCTGCACCGAGGTGAGCGTGGACAGCTACATCAAGCAGAAGGCGGTGGGCGGCTCGCCCGCCACGGGCATCTTTTCGCCCATCGACGCCTTCTCGCGTCTGATTGTGTTGATGATCAAGTACCACGCCGACCCGACGGGCGCCAACAACGAGCAGGCCAAGGTGCACTACCTGACCAAGATCCTGTCGATCGTGGTGCTGGTGCTGGCGCAGTCGCACGAAGAGCTCGGAGTGCATTTCCAGCAGAAGCCCTTCTTCCGACTGTTCTCGAGCCTGCTGCACGACCTGCACGCCGCCGAGTCGAATCTCGGCCACGCATACGTGCAGTCGCTGCTGGCCATCAGCAACACGCTCAACACGCTGCAGCCGTCGTTCTTCCCCGGCTTTACGTTCTCGTGGATGTCGCTGGTGTCGCATCGACTGTTCATGCCCAAGCTGCTCGAGGCCAACGAGCGCGAGGGCTGGGGCGCGTTCCACCGGCTGTTTGCGTCGCTGCTGCGCTTCCTCTCGCCGCTGCTGCGCAATGCCGAGCTGCAGGACACGTCGCGCCAGCTGTACCGCGGCACGCTGCGCATCCTGCTCATCCTGCTGCACGACTTCCCCGAGTTCCTGTGCGACTACCACCAGAGCCTGTGCGACCTGGTGCCGACGTCGTGCATCCAGCTGCGCAACATCATCCTGAGCGCCTTCCCGCGCAACCGACGTCTGCCGGATCCGTTTGGCGCCAACCTGCAGATGTCGATGCTGCCGGAAGTGGCCCAGGCACCGCGCATCGCTTCGGACTACCTCGCCGCACTCGAGCAGGTGGAAGGGCTGCGCGGCGCCATCGACGCATTCGTCGAGCAGCCCCGCGGCAGCGAGCTGCCGGAGCAGCTCGTGGGACTGCTCAAGCAGGTCACGAGCAAGGCAGCCGCTACCAGCAACGGCGTGGGCAAGGACGAGGCTGCTGGCACGCACGCAGCGAGTAACGTCAACGCTGGGCTGATCAACTCGACTGTGCTGTACCTCGGCGTGCGCTCGATCGAGTCGCGCCGCAGCGGCAACGAGGATGGCGGTGCTGCGGTGCTGCGCTGGCTGGTGGCCGAGGCGGAGCCCGAGACGCGCTTTGTGGTGCTGACGGCGGCGGCGAACCAGCTGCGCTTCCCGTCGAGCCACACGGCGTACTTTTCGTCGGCGCTGCTGCAGCTGTTTGGCGAGAGCGACGACGAGCTGGTGCGCGAGCAGATCCTGCGCGTGCTGCTCGAGCGGCTCATCATCAACCGCCCGCATCCGTGGGGTCTGCTGGTGACGTTTATCGAGCTCATGAAGACGCAGCGACACCGTCTGCCGCGTGCGCCCGCCGAGATCCAGGCGCTGCTCGACCACATCGCCGCCACTCTCTCGGCGAGCAGCGGCGGTGCGAGCAGCGACCAGCAGCAGCAGCAGCACACGGCACACGCCCATCTCAACGGGCATGCAGGCTTCCTGCCGCCGCACATGATGCAGCAGCAACAGCAGCAGCAGCAGGCTTAGGCCGAGCAGCAGGCCTGGACCGACGGAGCGAGCCGCAACATGGCTGTATCGCTCTCTCGCTCTCTGTTTCTCTCTCCTTCCTCCTCTATTTTTCTCCCCACAATTCGGATCGAATCGAGTTTCCCGGTTTCGTTGATCTCCTGTCAATCTGTACTATCATCCAATGTCGAAGATTCATTCTTGTCTCATCACTCGTTGTGGGCGGTTGTTGTGGAGGTTGTAGGGATGCATGCGGGCTGTGGGAGGCCCCTGTGTAATCACCTGGTGTGATCTGAGGGAAGGGAAGGGGGAGGGCTCGGTTGCGTTGGGTGGTGCATGGCTTTTTGACGCCCGCGTGCATAAGCGTGGGTTGGGATGCACGCAGTCCCACCGACTTTTTTCTTCTCTTGCGGCCATGCGCGTGCATTGACATTGTCTGTGTGCCTTTGCGTGGGTTTGGTGTGGGTGGCTGGGGGGTGTAAAAGCGTGTGCGCAAAGTGCAAAGTGTCTAGGGGTTGCGTTGGTTTGTACTCTGCCTCTTGACATCCAACGCCGGCAGTTCAAGAGCCTTGGGTCCAGCCGTGCTTTTTCGACCGTGGCCAAGCTGGGAGGAACTTGGTTGGAATGCGGGGGGGTATGGAGACGTTTGATACAGGGTATGGGGCTACGCCTTCGGTGGGGAGTATGAGCTTCCACACGGTGGAGACCGAGCTGAGCTCGCATCAGGATTCGTTGGGCTTCGAGGTGAAGAGGTTGCCGAATGGGCTTCGGACGCAGTCGCGCCTAAGTATGGCGAGCGTTTCGACGTGTACGCCCGTACGAGCCACATGTCCACCCTCACCTATCCACCACGCCTCGAGCACATCAACCGACTCGACATACACCGCCACTGCACCAGCTCGCGAATCCAACAAGGAGGAGAGATCAAGTTGGGGGGCCAACTTTTGGTGTGTCGTTCAAGACCCTGGAGGGGGCGAGCGCTTTTTTGCCAATCCGGATACGGGCGAGTGTCGCTGGACACTCCCACAGGGCTCTATGGTCCTCCCGCCCTCCGACGATGGTCAGTGGTGGCAGCTGACAGATGCCCAGTCGGGATGCAGCTACTACTTCCACACGCGCACGCACGCTACGCAGTGGACCCGCCCCGACGCCCAACTCGTCATCCCCATGACCGCGGTGCAACTCAAACTCAACCAGTGCACGCAGTCCAGCGGTCGAGTGAGGCGCGTACACAGTCTCCCGCGCAAGGCAGCTGTGGTGGAAAGAGCAAGGGATAGCATTGTATCGCGCGACCAGACAGCGCTGGCCCAGGCCAGAGGCTCACCCTCCCTGCGATCCGATGCGCCGCAGAGACGCAAACCGAGAACAGCCCCCACCCCCACGCGTCCGCCAAGAATCGAGTCCAACACGTTGGCAGCTGCACCCACGGTTGCCATTCGAAGAGTCGGTAAAGGTTTGGCGCACGATGCGGGTCATGCTCCGCTACGAGCTCGTCGCTCCATGCCGGTCCTCAAGCCGCGCAGAGCGGTCACGCATCTGCCGCCGGACCTAGCCCACGCACTCACCGTCCCCACCCGCCACCCCCAGCAACACCCCAAACCCGTGCCCGCTCCAGCTCCCGCTCCCTTGCCGATCGAGCCCAAGACCGAGGCGAAGCTGCCGCGCTCGCGCTCGTTTCCCCTGCGCTGGTTTTCGCGCTGCAAACGACCGCCTCTGCCCGACTAGTATCACATTGGTGGTGCTGTGAAATCGATCTTAACCATGCCCACCGCCGTGCCTGATGCGAGCAGCCCTGCGCGGCCGATATTGGGGTTCCACTGCACCGCGGTCACGGCGAGACACGGATGCCACTGAGCGATATGCCACTTCTTGCCCTCTGCGGCATTAGCCAGCTCTGGCACAAGATGGTGCCTCACGACGAGTCTGCCCGTCGACCGGTCAAGGACCATCTGGTACACGGGTGTGTGCACGCGCACTGTGCGCCTCAGTGTGCGCAGCGTGTTGGCGAGCTTGACTTCTCCATGTGCACTCCCGATCGCCACGACGGGGTGCAAGGTCGATGCGGCCAGTGACGTGACGCGCGCAGGAGTGTTGGAGACGAGTCGCGAGCGCAGCATCTCTTCGGGCCGCATGCTGTAGTGGTTCACCGACCCGTCGGCGTGTTCGTGCACCAGAGAAGACGTGAAGGGCGCCCAGGCACATGCGTGGTGCACGGTGCGCGATCGCTCCAGTGCCACCGCCGACGTGCGGCAAAGATCCACGAGCGCAGTCCGTCCATCCGCCCCGACCGTAAACAGCGTCATGGGCAGCCCATCCGTCTGTGCGCGCCCGTCGGCATCCACCGGCGGCATCAGCACAAATGCCATGTCCATCACCGCTGAGCGATGCGCACGCACGCCGTAGTCCGGCATACACCTACCGGGCCGCGTGGAGCAACGCAGGATTCGTCCCACGTTCCACACGCCAATCCACCCGCGCGCGCCGCCGAGCGCCAGAAGCTCGCCTCCCGCCCATGCCAGGCTCGTAGCCGCCTGCTGCGCATGCTCGAGCCGCAGCACCGGCTCCAGACGCACATGTACCGGCCCCTCCCCGCGCTGAAAGCTGTCGGGATGCGGCACGCTGAACACCGACACGCTGCCGTCGGCGAAACAGCCCGCCAACAGCCCCAGCCTGCTGCCCCCGTGCGCGCCGTGCGAATAGTCGTGCCCCACCGGACACCAGGCGAGCTTAAAGGCAGCCCCCGCCTCATGGCACAGCACCATCTCGAACCGTGCTATGCCCTTGGCCTGCTCGGTGTCGGGCGACACACTCCAGAGCTGCAGACTTGCTGCGCACGCGGGCTGCTTGTCGCCGATGTACGTGAGCGGTGCGCCTGCAAAGGCGGAAACGACCAGGAACTCGCGGCCGCAGTTGAGGTGCACAGGAACCGGCGCCCACGCGAGCGCATACACGTGTCCACCAGCGTTGAGCACATGTCCCTCGTCAGGCACCACGCCGAGCGCATCGAGCCGGCGTGCGGTGCCGCTCTCGATGCGCACGGGTGTCTCGCGGCCCGCGGCTCCCATGCACACCTCGAGCACCTCGCCGCACACCGGCCCCGCCTCTTTGAAGCCCAGATTGGCGATCCCGCCGAACTTTGCGTCGGCCACGTCGACCGGCTGCTGATTCGCATCCAGCACGCTTCCGTCTTCGACGTCGTCGTCGTCGTCGTCCGCCGCCTCGGTCTTGACCTTGGGCGGCTGCTTGAGTCGCGTGCGCATGCTCAGCTCGGGCACCGTGAGCTTCATCACGGTCGTTGGGTGGTGCAGCGGTGCGCGCTGCGGCGTGTGCGTGTCGCGAACAAACCGCGCCGCCGCCTCTTTGGACAGCACCTCTCGCTGCACATCCAGCCACGGCTGAACGAACGGCCAGCCTGCGCGCTCGCCCAGCCTCACCTCATCCGTCGCGCCAGCACCGCGTCGGAGTTGCTCGCGCGCGCGTGCGGCCCACTCGGCCCTCTCCTGGCTCTGCGCATACCCGACCGCCTTGCCGGGATACCAGCCCCAGTCATAGATGCCTTCGCGCGGCACCCAGCCCGGCTGGCTCGTCCAGAAGCTCACGAGGCCCTTCTTGATCACCGGGTACGCGAGCGGGTCGAGCGCGGTCTTGGCTAGCCCGTCGCGAGGCCACGGCAGCGCATCCTCGCGGCTGCGCACTTCTTGCGGCTGTGCATCGCCGTCTACATCGTGCACGGACGACGAGAGATCCGGAGGGGGTACACCGAAGAACGGCGGCTGATAAACACCCTGCATCCAGAGCGGACGCAGCGAGCGCGCGCGGTTCGTCTTGAGCTGTGCCCGCAGCAGCGTACTCAGCGCGCCGTGCTGGCTGTAGATCTCCAGGTCGGGGTCTTTGCCGCCCGCCTCGACCGCATCGTCGGCAGAGTCGTCATAGTCGTCTTCGTTCGCTTTCGCTTTGCCCTTGCGCGGCGTCTTGGCAGGCATCGCACTTCGGGAAGATGCACTTCCGTCGGCGTCGTCGTAGTCGTCGTCTGCTTTCGCTCTGCCCTTGCGCCTTGCACTGCCTGGCGTCTTGACAGGGGTCGCAGGTCGGGGCGATGCGCTCTCGTCGGTCGCCTCGTCTTGTGTTTGCGCAGTGGATGCAGCATGGATGCCTGCAAGCGCCTGTGCTGCCGCCTTGCGCCGGCTGCGTGGAGCGGGGCTTTCAGAGCCCGAGGCTTCTGCATCGGCCAGTGATGCCTCGGCGAGCTTGGCTCGCTTCCGGGCGGGCGTGGATGCAGAAGGCATCTCGACGGTCTATGTAGCTGTCGAGTCGATTCGGTCAGTTGATGTGCCGTCCGGGCGGAGGTGGCCGCATGGTCTGCGATGGAGGCAGGAAGGGTGGGCGTGTGTAGTCGTCGGGCGCCAGGTGTCGGATGGAGGCCAAAGCGGGGATTCCGGATTCAGGGTCCAACTTTTTTTCAAAACGTGTTAAGCTTGCCTCGCAATTAGGGCGGAGAAAAGAAGCGCATAAAAGGGTCGGAAAATTGGGCTGAAGAAACGGCAGAAAAAAAGGATAAATCGAGGATTTTGATGGATGGTCTAGGTCGCTGTGACCAAAGATGGCCGTTATGATGGGGGAGTGCGGGGATCGAGATAGCGGACTGACTTTGTCCGGATGCACAGAAGAACATGAGGTCTGAGTCGCCCCGACAAGATCCCGACGTGCTGAGCTAGGGATGGGTGTTGCGACACGACGTCGATCCCGCTCAAAAGTCCGACAAGCTTCCGTATCGAGAAGCCTTTTCTAGCCCTTTCTCCAGCATGTCAGAAGCGTTCTCGGTCAGCTCGTTTATCCGCCATGAATCCGAACGGCTCAAGATCCAACAACGGCCAGTGCTGAAATCAGGTTGCCTCGAAAGCGATAGCAGGCTCGGCAGCCGGGACAGCGGCTTGTCGGCCGAAGAGACCCGATGCCGCACGAGGTTGCATCTCCCGATAATCCACCAGCTCGGAACGAAGCCGCAGCGGCACTCGAAAGCATGCTCGGAACCCGCACCCCTTTCTGTGTGGTAAGGGCTGGCCCGCGGTTTAAGCCCTATGACGCGGCGGAGACCAATTAGGGGTGAGCTGCATGCGAAGGCGTTCCGAGTCCAAACTGGTGGAGGCCTGCAGAGCAATTCAGGGGCTACGAGGTTTTTTGGCACGTCGACACACGCTTAGCCGAGGCCTGTCAACCTGCCAAATTTGTCAAGCTCCACGGGACCCACCCGAACGACGCTAGGCAGTCTAGATGTGGCCCTGGACTCGGCTGCCCTGGCATAGGCGTGAGCTTGCGAGCCCGTGTGGGAGCCGAAGCAAGAAAAGCGGCCAATGACGCTGCAGACACCCCTATCCTCTCGGTCAGCATCCGAACGAATCTTCCCAGACCCCGCTTAACCTGACTCGTGACTGATAGAAAACTTCACGCCGCCCGGATGATGGTGTTGGCATCGTCGATGGGCGCTGTCGCTCGACATGACGGTGAGACAGCTTCGATGACATCTTTCAGAACCTGTCGCCGCCCGTCGTTTTGATGCCAGTGACGTGAGTGGATTGGCCGCCGCGATCGGCGTGCTTTTAGAAGAGGGTGCTCGTATGATATGTCCCGGATCAACGCCGATGCAGGGCCAGTGTCTCATCTCGATAGCATGGTGGGCGGCGGGCACATCTGAGACAGCATCGGTGCACATCTCGAGTCCTTTGGCGTCGTATTGTTCCTGCCTTTTGCCTCCCGTCCCTCCCGTGCAAGGGTTCTTGCGTCCGGCTTTGCATCCCCGAGTCAGTCTAAAAGACTTGGTCATCGAGGGTGTTTTGTGAGCGTCGGAATCCCCGAACGCCGGTCCTGACTTCATGCCGCCTCTCTCACTGAGCGGAGCTTGCTGCACATGCCCGAGTGGCCCCTGACGTGAGAGCCTGGCCTCCACGCCGCACCTGCCCCGCTCAAACCTCGCTAACATGAGACGGTGTTTGTACTTTGCTGAATGGACCTGCGCAAACGCCCACTGTCCAGATATGGTCTGGATCGGGGAAAGGCATGGCTCCCATGCTAAGAATCTTCGCTTGGACCCACTGGGCAATTCTTGTCTGCGGGCCATCGGAGAAATGGAGCCTTGGTACTGACATTTTGAGCTGGACACGCGAGCCACGTCATGCAAGCTGCACGTTACTCCTCGAGCTGCAGCCAAGTTGCGTCGCAGGATTCCGGACCGAGCATGTATCGTCATCAGGCCATCAGTACGCTCTCGAATAGCTCGGTTCCTGACATGCGTTTGCAGAGCGTTTGGAAGATCCATGCGCCCTTGCTCGGTGGCTAGGCAGGCCTACACTAACGGATTGTATGTCAGCACCCGTCGGGTAGCAGCGCAATCGTCCAAAATGCAGCGCAAGTGTGGATCCGCCAGGTCATACCTCAAGCCCCTGCAGACCAACTTGGCTAGGATTGTGGCTCAACAAGCCCATTGTTCAGATTAGGCTCTCCCCGGTGAACCAGTCCTGAGCGTCGGTTGCAACGCCGCTCGGATGCGGTGGCGGCAGCAGGGAAAAGAGGCTGCGGCTGTGGATGCTGCAGGCCATGTCTCAGGGAGCAGCCTTCTTTGTGAGTCTTCTGTGGCAGCCACCTGCCTAATGGAGCGCACCGCATGCTGTTGGCTGCACGAGAGGTGCAAGCGTAGATACGACTCGAACCCCAAGCCGCAGCGTCAACACGCCTCATGAGACCTGCACGCAGCAGCACCGAAGCCTGCACGCCTCGATTCTGCGTGTTTTCCCTCGCAAATTCAAAATTGGAAAAAAGGAATATTCGCGGAAATTCCTTTTTTTGCGAGTGAGCGCAGGGCAGGCGGATGCAGCCTTAAAGCCGGAAAAATAAAGTGTCCAAGGTGGGGCGACGTCGAATCCAAAATGGGCCCGAAGGGACTGCCCGCGCGCCCTTGGCTTTGGTCTCTCTCACGCATTCAGGGGCTTTAAATTCGCAAATGCACGCGGGCGATCCCTCCGCGTGCATCGCCGCTGACTCTTGAGCTGCCCCCCCTCCCCTCCCAACTCGGCGCTGGCTAGCCGCGATGATTTCATTGCCTTTTTCCCTTTTCCCTTTTTTTACTTTTATTATTTTCTGTTTATCTTGGCTTTTTGAATGGGTGTTGTTGTTGTGAGTTCGCAGCGAGCCGCCGACGCCGCCGCCGTGGGAGAATGGAGAGAGGAAAGGCGAGGCGGCTGTGGAGCTGCAGGCAACGAAGCTCCGATGAAGCGGCCGTCCTATGCGCATCACCCCACTCTAGGCCGCCGCCGCCTCGTCCTCGTCCTCGTCGCTTCATCCGGCTCTCGACTCGTGCCAACCGCCCGCAGCAGCCGCAGCCGCAGCTCCGTAAAGTTCGCCTCATCTCGCCCTTGCTCGCTCCTGCTCGCTCGCTGAGCAAAAAGGCAAAGGCAAAGCCAGCGCAGAGAGGCAGCAGCAGAACGGCGTCGAAGGAGGCGGCGGCGACTGAAGCTGCCAACCGCATCATCCACTTTGACCCTGCTTGGCAGCTTTGTCGGTACAGCCGGTAGTAGTGACGCCCGTCTCGGCACCCCTCTCCAACCCACTGCTGGCTGCCCTCCCCGCCCACCTTCCTTCCCACTGGCTTTCCTCGCTCCTCGCTCCTCGCTCCTCCTATCCACGACCGACTCGATCCCCCCCTCTCGTCCCTGACTCCGCTCCGTCACTCTCTCCACACCCCTCCTCTCTTCGTCTCCTCGCATCGCCAGACACGCTTCGACACGACAGGACACGACTCGACACGACTCGCATCACACGCCCCCGCTAGCCTTGCTTTGCCTTGCTTTGCCTTGCTTTGCCTTGCATCAACGTCGCCAGCATCCTCACCACCGACTTTCATCGCTCTCCCGCCACCACCGTCGTCCTCGCTCTTGCTCTGTATCCGTCACGCTTCCATCACGACCCTCTTACGCTGTTTATTCTCGGACCTATCTACGATTCTTAGCTACCGATTCATAGCGCGTGCGTCTTGCTTCCATCTCAACTCGGCATCCTGGTCTCGTAGCACAGCTTTGTCAACACGCTTCCGGCTTGCCTCGCTCGACCCCTCCGAAGTGCCTCTCGCCTCCATATGCCTGTACGGCCCTAGACTTCACCCAACAAACCACATTCCAACATGCCCAACCTAGCGCTACCGTCGAGGTCGCCCTTGCTCGGCTCGCGCAAAGCGCTGCGAGAGACCAGCCCCTCGCCGCCCACACGAACCAGCTCGGCGTCGCCACTACCATCACCAGCCGTCGCAGGGCCCAGCAGCCTCTCGCGCTCACCGCCCAAGCCCATCGCTTCGGGCAAGGAACTCTCGGAACAGTATGAGCTGCTCGAAAAGATCGGCGCCGGCTCCTTCGGCACCGTCTACAAGGCCATGCACAAGGAGACGCGCCAGATCGTCGCCATCAAGCAAGTCGACCTCGAGGACTCGGACGACGACATCAGCGAGATCCAGCAGGAGATCGCACACCTGGCCCAGTGCGACAGCGAGTGGGTGACCCGCTACTACGGCAGCTTTGTCAAGGGCTACAAGCTCTGGATCATCATGGAGTACCTCGCCGGCGGTTCGTGCCTCGACCTGCTCAAGGCCGGGCCCTTCTCAGAGGCGCACATCGCCATCATCTGCCGCGAACTGCTGCTTGGCCTCGAGTACCTCCACAACGAGGGCAAGATCCACCGTGACATCAAGGCCGCCAACGTGCTCCTTTCCGCCAGTGGCAAGGTCAAGCTCGCCGACTTTGGTGTGGCGGCGCAGCTGTCCAACAACAAGTCGAGGCGCAACACGTTCGTCGGCACGCCCTTCTGGATGGCGCCCGAAGTCATCCGCCAGGCAGGCTACGACTACAAGGCCGACATCTGGTCGCTTGGCATCACGGCCATCGAGATGGCCAAGGGCGAGCCACCGTTGGCCGAGTACCATCCGATGCGCGTGCTCTTCCTCATCCCCAAGGCCAAGTCGCCAACGCTCGAGGGCAACTTCTCGTCCGCCTTCAAGGACTTTGTCGACCTCTGTCTCATCAAGGATCCCAAGCACAGGCCCTCGACCAAAGAGCTCCTCTCGCATCGCTTCATCAAGTACGCCAAGAAGACCGTGCTGCTCACCGAGCTCATCGAGAAGCACCACGAGTACAAGGCGCGCGGCGCCACGCGCGGAGGCGCCATCGTGCGCGACCATCTGCGCGGCGTCGATGCATCCGAGTCAACCATCGGCGGCAGCACCATCATGAGCGAGTGGCAGTTCGAC